CGGTCTGGGGAGTGTGTGGGCGTGTCTGGGGAGTGTGTGGGCGTGTCTGGGGAGTGTGTGGGCGTGTCTGGGGATTCTTATCGAGGTATTGTGTTTTAGAAACGGTTTCAGAAAGTGTTTTTTTACTGGGAGTGATGTTATTGTTATTGTTGTTGTTATTATTATTATTTATTATTATTATTATTATTATTATTATTATTACTGCGTTATCATTGTTATTACAATTATCGAAAGGAATTTCTATTTTGCTTCACGCAATTCACTGTTACTCTTTATTAACAATCACACACACACACACACACACACACACACCACACTTCACACACATACACACACACACACAACACACACACACACACCACACACACACACACACACACACACACACACACACACACACACACACACACACACACACACACACACACACACACCACACACACACACACACACACACACACACACACACACACCTCACACACACACACACACACACACACACACACACACACACACTCACACACACACATACACCCATACACACAAACACACACGCACACACACAACATACACACAAACGCACACACAAAAAAAACAACAACATATATATACAACCAACGGAAGTCTACGTCAAACTATTCTATCAGCTTCCTTGCATGATGAAATAATGGTATTTTTATTTGTCTTGGTTAAATTTATCTCCTCTCCCCCCACCCCCCACCCCCCTCTCTCTCGTGTAATTTCAACGGCATTGCAGGAAAGCAAGTTTTTGTGTTGCTTTGTTGTCTGAATCACACCTGTTATCTTAGTCATTGCGTATGACTTTTTTTCTGTATATATATGTATGTATATATGTATCTATCTATCTGTCTTTCTATCTGTCTATCTATCTATCTATCTATATATGTGTGTGTGTGTGTGTGTGTGTGTGTGTGTGTGTGTGTGTGTGTGTGTGTGTGTGTGTGTGTGTGTGTGTGTTGTGTGTGTGTGTGTGTGTGTGTGTGTGTGTCGCGTGTGTGTGTGTATGTCCGTGTGTCAGTGCATATGTTGTGTATGCGTATGTACCTATAATACATGCGTTTATATGCAGCACATCTATCTTTTATACACACATTCACAAACACACACCCGCAAACACACCCGCGCATGAACGAAAACGAGTGCGCCTTCCGTTATGAATGGGAACAGCTGACGAAGGTAAACAATACGGAGACCTCAATCCCGATGTGCTTCGAAGGGGTCGCGGTGAAGCAAGCGGCAAGGAAAGGGGGGGGGGAAGCTTGTGCAATTTCCGTTATTTCTTGCGCTAGTGAGAAGGGCAATTGATCATCGAGAAGAGAAATGGAAATGGTAAAGCTAAAATGAGAGAGTTGGAGAGGGAGAGGGAGAAGGTGAGGAGGGAGAGGGAGAAGGAGAGGGGAGAGGAGAAGGATGGAGAAGAAAAGGAGAAGGAGAAGGAGAAAGAGAAGAAGGAGAGTGAGAGGTAGTGGGAGGGAGAGGGTGAGAGGGAGAGGGAGAGGGAGAGGGAGAGAGAGAGAGAGAGAGAGAGAGAGAGAAGAGAGAGAGAGAGAGGAGAGAGAGAAGAGAGAGGAGAAGAGAGAGAGAGAGAGAGAGATAAAAGAGAAAGAGAGAGCGAGAATCAAAGAGAGAGAGAGAAAGAGAGAGAGAGAGAGAAAGAAAAGAGCGAGAAGAGAGAGCGAGAAGAGAAGAGAAAGAGAAGAGAAGAGAAGAGATAGCGCTCCCGAGCCTCCTTCCTCCAAGTGACTCCGTGCATATCTCGCAGGCAGCTGACCCCTTCCACTTTCTCGCTGCCCCGAAGCCAGTCGACGGCGAGGAAGGGACGAAAAAACTTGCTTTGGCTGTATGTTTATGTTGTTTTTTTCACTTCTCTTCTCTTTCGTATTTTCTTTCTTTGTCGTTCTCTCCATCTCTCTGTTTATCTTTTCTCTTCTCTCGCTCAGAAAGGAAGAAAGCAATGATGATATAATGGAATGGATAGCAATGATGATATTAATGATATTCAAAATTATGATAGATAACTTGAGACAATGATGAGAACTCAATCATGTTTTATAAACATGATTGTGTTGATGCTACAACAACAACAACAATAACAACAACAACAACAACAACAACAACAACAACAACAACAACAACAACAACTACTACTACTACTACTACTACTACTACTACTACTACTACTATTGCTGCTGCTACTACTACTACTGCTACTATACTACTATACTACTACTACTATACTACTACTACTGCTACTGCTACTACTACTACTACTACTGCTACTACTAATAATACTGATAATAATGATAATGGTGATGCTAATGATAATAATGAAATTTATAATAATAGTAATAATAGTGATAATTGTAATAATGATAATACCAGTGATAAAGATAATATTGATAATGATCGTAATAAAAGCAATAATAATAATAATGTCAGCAATATTAGGATCATAAATGCTATTTCTGATCAACAAAAATGCAGGCAAAGTAACGTGTACACAAACATGAACCACATGTACAATTTAGTCAAATTATTCCTTTGGCTACATCTACCACAACTAGACCAGCAATTACTGTCACTACCGACCTTACCAGAGGCATAATGTTAGCCTTTTACAATGACATTAATAAAAAGAAAAGCATCAGTAATATTAGTATCGTTTCAGTGGCATTAAAAACAGCATCAATAATATTAGTATAATTTCTGTTGCACTAAAAACAGCATCAGTAATATTAGCGTCGTTTCAGTGGCATAAAAAGCATCAGTAATATTAGTATCATTTTAGTGGCATTAAAAACAGCATCAATAATATTAGCAGTGGCATTAAAACACCATCAGTAATATTAGTATCATTTCAGTGGCATTAATACACAGCCATCAATAATAGCGTCGTTTCAGTGGCATTAAAACAGCATCAGTAATATTAGTATCGTTTCAGTGGCATTAAAAACAGCATCAGTAATATTAGCCGCGTTTCAGTGGCATTAAAAGCATTAGTAATATTAGTGTTGTTAGTCATTAAAACAAAAACAAAAACAAAACAAAAAACGCAATAGTAATCTTAGTGTCGTTACAGTATTGCCTTTTGCAGTTCATGTTTTTTCAACATAATACGTACTTCGTCTCTCCTTTTTAATCTTTGACGTTTGAGTGGGAAACCCGCGCAGTTTTTTTTTTTTTTTTTTTTAATTATCATATCCCTTGTTTGTAATTCACGGAGTTGTGCGGTTAGCTTTCTCTTCTTGTTCGTAATGTTTTATATTTTATTTGTTTATTTACTTTTTGGGGGGATTGTTTACGCTTTTTTGGCTATTTCGTTTTTTTGCTTTTTTCTTTCTCTCTGTCTTCTCCGTTTGGTTGTTTTCACGTTTCTTTTGTCAACTTGTCTATCGGTCTGTCTCTCTCTTTTAGGAAATAAAGGAAAAGGAAATTAAAAGGGAGTAGGAAAAGGGAGAGGGATAGAAGAAGGTGGTAAAGAAGAAGAAGAAAAGAAGAAAGGGGAGAAGACAAGGGAAAAAGAGGGTGATGATGGCAAGGTGCAGCGTGAGAATAAAAAATATATGGGGAAGAAGGAACTAATAATGGAAATAATAATGACAAGGATAATGATGATAATGATAGTAATAATTATAATAACAGTAATAAATGATAATGAAAACAATAATGATAAATCATAGAAAATAATAATATAGTTTTAATCCTCATCGTCATTAATATTGTTATTCTTATGTGGGAAAATAGAAATAGATAGGGACTATAATATCAAGAATAGAACGAGGAAGAGAGAAAGGGAGAAGTAGGAAAAGGAAAAGATAATGAGAGTGGGTGTGGAGGAATGAAGAACGGTGGATAGCGTGTGGTCTAATCCTAACTGGTAACCTTCAGTGACGATTCAGAGGAAGTTGCCAACACGTAAATATATTCATCCTTGACAACATTATTATTATCACTGGTCGGGAGAATTTGGGACTCGGTTTCCGTTGAAGATTTGTTTTATTGTTTTTTATTTTTATTTTTATTATGCTCCTACTCGTGACCTATTAGAAAATTTGAAGGGTAATTTCTTTTATGGCGATTTTTAGAAATGAGTGAACCACGCCATTAAAAAATATATATATATATATATATATATAAATCATAATATTGTTAATTAATCAACAGGTTATTTTATAATTTCGATAGAAAATACTCGATTCTATTAATAGATGAAACTGTGTATAAACATAAACCAAAAACATAAATACAAAAATCAATATTCCGAAGAGAAATGGCATCCAGACATAAATCCAGTGACCAACTTTTTTTTTCTTTTTTACAGAATTAGACAATGTGACGTAACCCTTCCAGGGAGAATAGCGATTTAGTCTCAAACCTTAGCTGAAGTAAGTCTGAAGTAGGTCTCCAGAATAGCCAATTCAGGAGACAAGCCAGTTTAAACCTTCAGAACCAAGATGCGTGACGTAATAAAACGGTTGTCTTAGCGACTTCCAGGCCTGAAGTAGGAAACTTTTGTTATATTCCTCAGCAATAAACAATGATTTTTCTGCACAATAGTAATAGTTCTTGTACGTATTTCTCATGTTGTTTTGTTAGGTGCTCGATGACCATGCACTCTAAAACCTGTGTTCGTTTTAAAGCATATTTGTATTAACATCACGTCATTCGAGCCACACAGTATCTCAAACAGGTTTTGCAGTACCACATTATAATCGCAATATTTTTGCATCCAGTCTGTTTGCAAATGGCATATGCAAAGTACGATCTTTATACCTTTTTTTCTTTTTTTTTATAATTCAGTAGATGGACAACACCGCCATCCGGTTCCAAAAAGACTTTTATATATTTTGTTATGTTAAAATCTACGTAATTTCCATTTGAATGAAGATCATGATGTTTATTATGCACCTTGTAGGCATTCCATATATATTTACTGATGCAAATTGGTGTACAGGCAGTTGCAATGCAGATAAGATTTTTAACACGTGTTTCTCTTCCCTTTGCAGGGCGCTATGACGCGAGGAGAGGCGCTATAATGGAGGCCGGCCGAGGGAGGCTCTCCCCTTCCCTTCGCCTCGTTCGCTAGCCCTGCTCTCCATGCCTGTAGGCGACGCGGAACTCTGTTCTTGAAGGATTTCATGTGACTGACGCGTGGGTTCGAGATGGATTTGAGCACAGTGAGCCACCAGTCGCCCGGGTACATGTGCGTGGAAAATGGGGGCGACTTTGTTAGTACGAATTTTATCGAAGACGTCCGTTCGACCAAAGTGCCCGCGGTGCTCGAGGACATCGCCCTGCCGAGGGGCTGTGACATGCGGACCGTAACCATGAATGGATTTAGCAACTCTTGCCAAGGAAATATCAATGGCGCCAAGAACCTTCCCTCGGCGCCGACACAAGCCCATCCCAGGGATTTGCACGCGCTAGTAAATGGTGATCCGAACACCAATTTCGACGTCCGCCTGTCCCAAGCGGGCCGAACGGGCGAGGCACAGACGGCGCAGCCCGGGCGGCCGGAGCGCCTGCCCTCGCAGTCGTCGGCGTCGTCGCTGCGCTCCTCCTCGGCCTCGGCGTCCGAACGCTCGATCTCGTTCTCGGATCAGGAGACCGTGTGCGCCGACGACCTTCGGCGCCGATACGGGGACGCAGACGGCGACTCGCGCGTTCGCCAGCAGGGCTCCTTTTCCTCCTCCGAGCAGCAGGACCCCTCTGAGCCCCCGGGCGACGACGAGCGCTACCAGCCCGAGGACGATGAGCTCTTCCATCCCGACGACGACGACGACGGCGAGGATGAGGCGGGGCTGCCCACGTTAACGGGCGTCGACATGAGACACGCCGAAGTCAACATCACGTCCACGAACGAGGTGGTTTTCGGCACCAAGGAAGTGTACAACATCTCGTCGCCGCTGACGGAGGCCGTCCCCAACATCAACGTCATGAGCCCGAAGGCGGAGACGCCGGGCGGGGGCGCACAGGCGTCGGACTCCCGCGGCGGCGTCGGGCGCGTCGACGCCAGGGGCCGCCCTCTCCACCTCAACATAGACAAGGCCCAACATGCGGCCCAGGCGGCGATCCCCATGATGTGCCGCCCGCACAGCCCGGTCATCAAGTCACAGTCCACGCCCATCCCCGTGTCCTCGTACGGCCTCACGAGCCCCGTGATGTCCGCGCACCAGATCTCGATGGCCGCAGCAATGGGCGTGCAGCAGGGGGCGGGCGTGCTCAACATCCCCCTGCCCTCGCCCATGCTCAGCCCGACCGGCAGCCAGCTCAGCATGAGCCACCCTCTGGCGAGCGCCATGGCCTCCCCTGCCAGTCGGATCAACCTGCCCACGGTCGCCACGCCCACGAGCCAGGTCAACATCAGCGACCCAGACAACGTCGTGGTGGGAACGCAGGTCGTCATCCGCTGCAACGAGCCCCACGAGGTAGGGTCAGGGCCCCGGGGGCGCTGCTGAGGTCCGAAGGATTCTCGTTCCTTTTCTGTGTAAATAAGCAGCCGGTAGACATTAATGCCAATATATATATATATATATATATATATATATATATATATATATATATATATGTGTGTGTGTGTGTGTGTGTGTGTGTGTGTGTGTGTGTGTGTGTGTGTGTGTGTATGTATATATATATATATATATATATATATATATATATATATATATATATATATTATATATATATATATATATATTATATATATACAGTGAACCCTCGCTATAACGCAGTTCACCTTTCACGTTCTCGCTGCTTCACGGATTTGCATTGTGCATTGTGTTCTGCATTCTGATTGGATAAAGTCTCCCCGCTTCTTCTCTACCTGTGTGTCAATAACGTAACGGTTTAATATTTACATGTACGTAATATATACATGTACGTAATACAGCTTGTCAAATTTGTTTGCAAATTTTCTCTAAAACCCATGAAGCCTTCAGTTCGTATTCAAATGATTATTTTACAGTACAGTAGTTATTTGTAAAAAACGTTTATACAGTACTTTTATTTGTTAAACAAATGCTTGGGCCTGTAAAAAAGTTTTGTTCTTTGGTTTCAATGTATTGTAATTTCATTGTATAATAATTGTAAAAAAATAAAGGTTACAACTTCGCGGATTTCGCCAATCACGGGTTCTTTTTGGAACGTAACCCCCGCGAAAAACGAGGGTTCACTGTATACATATATATACTCACACACACACATGTAGATACATACGTACATACATATATGTATACATGTGTGTGTGTGTGTGTATGCATGAGTGAGTTCGAGAACGAGTGCGCGCGTGTGTGTGTTTGTGAACATAAATTCATAAATATTAATGTACATGTAGCCTTCAAGTAACCTGGAAGAGACAACGTGTGATTTTCAAGTAGTTCAGGAAATCATTGAAGTTTTGGTCAAGTGAATGTTTTTTTTGTGTGCTTACTGAATGTTGATAGACCCATGATCACAAAGACAAGAGAAAATTCATGGCTAAAGTCATGAAACAAGTAATATATTCAATAAACTACATGATGCAGGATGATGATAAAACTATAGCCTAATTTAGTTACCAGTATGAGCATAGAAAGAATGGGACCCCCCCCCCTCAAAAAAAAAGAAAAAAAAGAAGAAGATAAAACTATATCCTAATTCAGTTACCAGTATGACCATAGAAAGAATGGGACACCCCCCTCAAAAGAAAAAAAAAATATATATATCCTAATTCAGTTACCAGTATGACCATAGAAAGAATGGGACCCCCCCCCCCCCAAAAAAAAAAGAAGAAAAAAAGAAGAAGATAAACTATATCCTAATTTTAGTTACCAGTATGAACATAGGAAGGATAGGAACCCCTCAATAAACAAACAAACAAAAAAAAAAAAAAACAGGTTTACAATTACCGTCTCTAGCTTAATTATAGATATGGTAAAGAGAGGCCTACACTGGGGAAGTCCATACACACTAATTATATAGATTTATCGTAGGATAATCTTTAAAAACCTGCAACTTATCAAAGAAACAGCAGAGCCTTTCTAATTAACACACAACGGACACAGAATTATATATATATATATATATATATATATTATATATATATATATATATATATATATTATATATATATAGATAATGGAATGGATTTCCTTGTCCACAAATGATCACTTGATATTGTTTTAATCCCATGAGCGGCGGAGGAGGAGCCAAAGGGTTAGGGCCAGGGGGGGAGAGGGGGCCAGGGGCAGGGGGGAGCCATAGGGGGGAGGGGGGACACGCAGGGGGGGGGGGGGCCGCAGGGGGGAGGAGCCACATGGGAGGAGGGCGAGGGAATAGGGGAGGGGGGAGGGGCGATAGGGGGGGAGGGGGGACGCCAGGGTGACTTGAGTGTGGTAACTCCAAGGTCGTTTGCCGCAGACTGTTTGCGTTCCGCTCTCGTCTGGCGTTTATTTGATTTAATTACGTGATGTGAGCGATCAAGATAGACTTTTGCTTTATGATTTTCGGTCTGCGGGCGTACAGTGTGTAGTTATTTGATAGGCTTTATTTATTATAAAAAGTTTTATACGCACGCACACACACACACACACACACACCACACACACCATTACGCAACAAGGACACACATACATACATACACAATACACCCATCATATATATATATATATTATATATACACATTATATATATATAATATATAATATATATATATTATATATATATATATATTATGGAGGGATAAAGAGTAGAGAGAGAGAGAGAGAGAGAGGAGAGGAGAGAGAGAGAGAGAGAGAGAGAAGAGAAAGAGAGAGAGCAGAGGAGAGGAGAGAGAATGAGAGGGAGAGAGATGGAGAGAGATAATAAGGAGAGAGAGAGAGGAGTGAGAGAAGAAGAGAGAGGGAGAAGGAAAGAGAAGATGAGAGGAGAGAAGGAGAGGAGAGAAGGAGAGAGAGAGAAGGAGGCGTGAGAAGAGAGAGAAGGAGAGAAAGATAAGGAGAGAGAGAGAGAGATAGATAGATAGATAGAGATAGATAGATAGAGAGAGAGAGATAGAGATAGAGAGAGAGAGAGAGAGAGAGAGAGAGAGAGAGAGAGAGAGAGAGAGAGAGAGAGAGAGAGAGAGAGAGAGAGAGAGAGAGAGAGAGAGAGAGAAGAGAGAGAGAGAGAGAGAAGAGAGAAAGAAATCAACATATATGATTCATCTACCTATGAGAAGCAGTCAAGATTCCCTTTAATAAAATATAAATAATGAATAAATAAATGAGAATATTTCCCCACTCCACATAAAAAAAATAATAAATAAATCCAAGTAACTAACACCCCTTCCCCCTCCCACCCCACCCCCCCCAGCACCGCCACGTCGAACCCCACGTCGCCACATCCACCCTGGCGGAGGTCCGAGAGAAACTGGCCACCGTACCGGACCCAGACCGACCCCCTCCCTCCTGCCGTGGCTGAAGGGACACCAGGCCATCCCCATGAACGAGTTCTACACCAACTCGCGCATCCTGGCCGTGGACAAGCAGGGCAAGCAGACGAGCCAGGCCGTGGACCTCGTCAAGGATCTCATCAATGAGGAGAGGTGAGTTGTTTGGGGAACCTGTCTTGCGGTTGAAGTCAGGGTTCTTTGACTATCTTGGTTGAGTTGATAATAATGATAATAATGATAATGATGATAATAACAATGATATTGATAATGGTAATGATAATGATGATAATAACAATGGTATTGTAATAAACAATGATATTGATAATGGTAATGATAATGATAATGATGATAATAACAATGATATTGATAATGGTAAATGATAATGAATGATAATAACAATGATATTGATAATGGTAATGATAATGAGAATGATGATGATAACAATAATAACAATTATAATAAAAATGATAATTAAAATGATAATAATAATAGCATTGTAATCAAATTATAAAAAAAACCCCACCCCCACCACCACCACAGTCCCCCACCTTCTCACTCCTCCCATCCCCTTCTGCAGACGAAGTTCCTGGTGGAGGGCGAGCCGGGGATGGGCAAGACGCTGCTGGCCCTCAAGATGGCGATCGACTGGGCCAACGAGAAGAGCCTCCAGCAGATCAAGTTCGTCTTCCTCATCTTCCTGAGAGACTTCAAGGGCAGCCTCGAGCAGTACATCAAGGAGGAGCTCTTGCCTTCGGGGTTCGATGAGAAGTGAGTGGGTTTTTTTTTGGATAGTTTGGGGTGGGGGGGGGTGATGGAGGGTTGAGGGGGTTGAGGGAGGGTTTTGAGGGGTTTGGGGGTTGAGGGGCGTTTTGGGTGGGGTGAGGGGGGTTTTGGAGGGTTGAGTTGGGGGGGGGGGGATGAGGGAGGTTTTGGGTGGTTGAGGGAGGGTTTTAGGTGGGTGAGGGAAGGTTTTGGGGGTTGAGGGAGGGTTTGGGGTGGGGTGAGGGAGGGTTTGGGGTGGGTGATTTTTTTTTTTTTTTTTTGGGGGGGGGGGGCGGATGAGGCAGCGTTTTGGGTGGTTGGTTTGGGGGGGGTGAGGAGGGTTTGGGGTGGGTGAGGGAGGGTTTTGGGACAGTTTGTGGGTTTTGGCGTGGTTGAGGGGGGTTGGGGGGGGTTGAGGGAGGTTTTGGGGTGGGTGAGGGGTTTTGGGGTGGGGAGGGAGGGTTTTGGAGGAGGGGTCTGTTTTGGGGTGGGTGTTTTGGTGGGGTTTTTGGGGTGGTGAAGAGGGAGGGTTGGGGTTGAGGTTGAGGAGGGTTTTGGGTGGGTGAGGGAGGTTTTGTGAGGGAGTGGTTTGGGGAGGGAGGGAGTTTTTTTTGGGGGTTGAGGGAGGGTTTTTGGGGGTTAGGAGGGTTTTGGGGTGGGAGGGAGGGTTTTTTGGGGGTTGAGGAAGGTTTTGGGGGTTGAGGGAGTTTTTTTTTTGGGGGGTGAGGGAGCGGTTTGGAGGAGGGGGTGATTTTGGGGGGTGTGTTTTGGGTGAGGGAGGGTTTGGGGGGTGAGGGAGGGAGGGTTTTGTGAGGAGGGTTTTGGTGTTGAGGGAGTTTGGGGGCAGGGTTTGGGGTTGAGGGAAGGTTTTGGGTGGTTGAGGGAAGGGAGCTTTTTGAGGAGGAGGTAGGGAGGGTTTGGAGGGGTTGAGGGACTGTGATGGTCTGGTGGGCTGTGTTTTTGTTTTGCTTTGTTTCGAAGGTGTGCACTTCTGTTTATTTTATTTGTTTAAATGTGTATTTGATTGCTTACTTATTTGTTTTGTTACAATTTAGGCAGTTTAGGCACGGATGGCTGAGAGCGTGTATTTGTCTGTTTTTATGGTTTAGAAAGTGTGTTTTTCTCTGATATGTTTGTTATAATTGTTTGTGTTTGTTTATTTAAATGTTTTTTTACGGTTTAGGGCCTTCAGCTACGGATGGCTGAGAGCTAGTTGTGTTTTTCTTTTAATGATAGTAATTGTAATGATAGTGGTAATAATGATGATAGTAGTGATAACGATAATAGTGAAGTTAGTGATAATCATTGTAATCATGGTGATAATGATGATGAAAAATAACGAAATAATGATGATGAAATTGTAATAAAAATGTTCTCTGGGCCACAGCAACAATCATTACTAATAAAAAATGATAATAACGATGATAATGATAGTGATACTACTGATATCAGTGATACTGTTATTAGCAGCAGCAATCATAAAATTTCTGGTATTGGCCTAAATGTCTCCTATGGTATTATATTGATTGATAATGACCCTCTATCTCTCTCTAAGTATTCACAAAATAACTTTATTAAATGATGTGACTACAGTGTCTAAACTTTCTAGTCTTTTCAATGAATTTATTTTTGTACACTTTTTTTTTTTGCTATTGTGTCAACACGAAAAAGTGTTTACCGCCGTGTCTCCCCGTGCTTTGCAGATTCAAGAAGGTGTGGGAGTACTGCAAGAACAACGAGGAGCAGGTTCTGTTCATCCTGGACGGCTACGACGAGCTCAACAAGAACGACGAGGGCGAGATCCAGAACCTGCTTCGGTACCGCGACTTCCAGAAGAGCAAGGTGGTCGTGACTTCGCGGCCGGACGTCCTCAAGACCATCTTCCAGCGGACGATCGTCAAGGGCTTCAGCGAGGAGCAGATGATGGAGTTCATCGGCAAGTACTTCCGGCTCTCGAACGAGGAGGAGTGCGGCCGGATGCTGAAGCAGATCATCGAACGCGATTACAAGTACCGGAAGCTGGCCAAGAGGCCCCTGTTCTGCGTGCTGCTCTGCATGCTCTACGACTCCGAGAGGAGCGTCGCCAAGCTGCCCGAGAAGCTGTCCGACATGATGTTCAAGATCATGCTGTGCCTCATCAAGTGGAACAACAACAAGGTGGGCGGCACCGACGGGAGCGCGGGCTCGGCCGACGGGAACATCGAGGCGTTCCCGCCGGAATACCAAGAGAAGTTCCTTAGTTTTGGCAAACTGTGCATGGAGGCGCTCAAGACGGATAAGACGCGCTTCAGTGAGAAGCAAATAGAAAACTATTCTCTCTTGGTGCCTTTAGGATTTTTGTCGAGTGACAGTGAGAACCATGTGTACGGACGCAAAAAGTTCTACAAACCCGTTCATAAGATATTCCTCGAATATCTCGCCGGCCTGTACATGGCCGACACCATCGAGCGGGACCGACGCGAGCACAAGGATTTCACGACCATCTACCGTCACGAGCACGTCCTCAAGTTCATGGTTGGGGTCCTCGGGAAGCGAGCCCACCTGGCGCTGGAGGGCAAGCGGCAGCAGGATTTCCGACACATGAAGGACCAGGAGATCCTGATGCTCCTCCGCGAGGCCGGGACGACGCCAGACAACTGCCGCGCGGTCGCCAGGCTGCTCGACCGCGACTACCACCGCGTCTACACCAGCGAGGTCGACTTCGAAGGCTGGAGTTCCATTCTGGACCAGAAGTTCCACATGCTCAAGAACCTGGAGCTGGTGTGGCGCATCAAGAGCAACAACCCGGACCAGGAGAGCTCCTTCAACGAGGCGAGCCCGGAGCTCTACCGGCAGTTCTTCAGCGCCCTCAGGAGGAACAAGAGCATCTCCATGATCAGGGTCCGGGCCACGCAGGACGGCGAGCCCTTCTCCGAGACCAAGATCAAACTCTTCTTCTCACACTTCAAGGAAGCGCTCGAGAAGGAGAACCTGAAAGAACTCGAGATAAAAGAACTGAATATGAATGTTCTCAATGGGAAGGTCTCGTCTAGTCTCGTGCAAGCAGTCGCGGAGGCAACCTGCAACTCGGGGAGGGTAAGGACCATGTTGGAATGTGTGGTTTTCCAACTCTCGTTTGATCTGTCTCTGTCTCGCTCTGTTTATCCTTCTACCCCCGCCCCTTTATCTCTCTCTTTCTTTTTTGTGTCCCCCCTTCCCTCTTTCCCTTCCCCTCTCCTTCCCCCCCCCTCCTCGCCCATCCCTTCTCCCTCTCCCTCTCCTTCTCCTCCCCCTACCTCCTTCCTCCTCCGCCCCCATTTTATTTCCCTTTTAGTAATATAAGAACATCCATAAGCACTAAATAATTGAAATATGAAATGTAAATGAATAATAAAAGGAATAAGATCGAAAATATCGAACTCCCACGAACGAAAAATGAAATAAAATAGATAACGAAAATTAAAAAAGATAAAAGTAGAAAAAAAAATTACTAACACTACTTCCCCCCCTTCCCCCCTTCCCCCAGAAAGCCCTCGAAGCCCTGGAGGTGCTGCGGCTGGACATGTTCCTCGACGACGACGCCCTCCACAACCTGTGCGACCGCCTGAGGAACGACTCGCCCAAACTCAAGGAACTGCAGCTGACCGGCCTCGTCCACGGGCGCCAGGGCTTCAAGTCTCTCGTGGAGCTGCTGAAGAAAAATAAAAATCTCCATAAGTTGCATTGTAAGGAACGGTCGTGGATTTTTTTTTTTTTTTTTGATTTTCTTTTGATTTTGTTTTGTTTTTTGTCGGTCTGGATGCTTGTGTCGATTTTTATCTGTCTATAGTCCTTTACCTATCTTTATGCCAAAATAGACACACATACACACACACACACACACACACACACACACACACACACACACACACACACACACACACACACACACACACACACACACACACACACACACACACACACACACACACACACACACACACACACTTGATCCCTTTGTATTGGGAAGTTGAAGGAATATCATCAATAAATACCAAAAAACCCTCATTGCATCCTCATTGCAGTGTCCATGAACAGAGCTCAATTGCAACACGACACGAGCGTCTTCATGAGCAGAGATTACACGCCGACGCACATGAAGATGGACTTAATCCGGATGTCAACTTATGCGAACAGAAAGAGCCAAGACGCCTTTAACCAAACTGTAAGTCTCGTGTTTTATTTTCGTTTTTTTTTTTTTTTTTTGTTTTTTTTTTTTTTTTTTCGATGTGGTTTTTTTTTTTATCTGTTTTTTTCTTGATTTTTTTCTTTCTTCTGATAAGATTCGATGTGTTTTTGTTTATCATATTTTTAAACGAGTGTTTGTTATTTCCTTTCTTTGTTTTGATGTTTTGGAGTCTATTTTGGGACGTTTTGTGTGACTTTGGTTAGAGTGAAAGTGGAATGAGAATTTGCTTTGTTCTTTTCTTATTGTTGTTTTATGTTGTCATCAGTAACTCACTGTATAAGTTATATGAAGTATTTACTAATATATTTGTTACTAAAGAAGAGAACTTTGATTGTAATTTATGTACTATGGTGTGATGTGATTACTTTTCCACTCATTGCGTCTACTCTATTATCTTTATTTACTATCCAATCTAACACCACCATTGCTCTAATTATTTTTCGTCTTTACGCAGATTTTTTTTTATTTATCATGCTCTTTATTAAATTATTTATTATTATATTTATTTATATCCACTCTCCTCCCCAGGTCCAAGAAAGTCAAGAGGGATGTACTCTTCCGGACCCAACCAAAGAACTGTGTTACCTCTTCAACGATCCTCTCAAGACAGGCGTCAAGTTCGTTCACGGAGCCAAGGGTTTCTGTTTCGTCAGGGGTAGGTTGAAAGACGACTGCTGATTGGCTGTTGGAGAGAGTTAGGTTGAAAGACGACTGCTGATTGGCTGTTGGAGAGAGTTAGGTTGAAAGACGACTGCTGATTGGCTGTTGGAGAGAGTTAGGTTGAAAGACGTCTTCTAATTGGCTGTTGGTGAGAGTTAGGTTGAAAGACGACTGGTGATTGGCTGTTGGAGAGTGAGGTTAAAAGACGTCTTCTGATAGGCTGCTGGAGAGAGGTTAAAAGACCTTGTGATTGGCTGTTGGAGAGAGAGTTAGGTTAAAAGACTTCTTCTTATTGGCTGTTGGAGAGAGTTAAGTTAAAAGACTTCTTCTGATTGGCTGTTGGAGAGAGTTAGGTTAAAAGACGTCTTCTGATTGGTTGTGATCCTGTGGAAGGCATTGGAAGAAAGAGAGTTTGTGATTGGTTATTGTGAAGACTTTAAGTTAAAAGACCTCTGGTGATTGGCTAGGGTAGAGGTTAGAATCAAAGACGTCTTCCGATTGGTTAGCGGAGAAATTGAATTAAAAACGTCTGGTTAGGAAGGAGATTCATTAAAAAGACGTTTGTTGATTGGACCGTAATGGGGATAAAAAAAAATTGACGGTTATTCGTTGGACAGGGAATTAATACATGAAAAGTTGTTTGACTAGTTAAGGACAATGTAAAGCAGATAATGGCAAAGAACGCTTGTTGATGAGGTAATAAGCTAGGAGAATGGTATGTAGAACAATTTCTTTGAAATGTGAATTTCTCTTTTCATATAAGAATTGGAAATTATTTAAATTACCAGTAAGCAGTTTAGGACAAAGGTTCAAATATGCTCATATATTTTTCTCACATCTGTCTGATTATAATTAGTCTCATTATAATTCCAATTGTGTTTTAACTTTTTACTTTCAATCCAGTAATAAAAAATGCATTGTATATGTAGTCGATGGATTGATAGAATAAGGAAAAGGGAATTTTATCCATAACACTTCGAGTATAAGTGGATTCCCCTTCAGGTAGAAAGACCTGATAGATTAATCATATGAAATATTTTATACCTCCTGATATTGCTGCAATATATTTTTTTTTCATTGATTTAGTTTCCTGCCTCATTGTAACAATGTTTCATTCTATTTTCTACTCACTACTACGTTAAATGTAATATGCGAACGATTAACTGTACAGCAAAAATAGGATGCTATAGCCGTATTTTTTCATTCGTTTTTATCATCGTATACTTTTTTATTTGGATAATCGAGAATTTCATCCTCTTATTTGATTTTCATTCATTTGGATTTATCGTAATTTATACTCATTTTGAAAATCGTAATTTTCATTCATTTGGAAAACCGTAATTTTCATTCATTTTGAAAATCGTAATTTTCATTCATTTGAAAAATAGTAATTTTCATTGATTTGAAAAATTTTCATTTGAAAATCGCAATTTTCATTCATTTGGATTTATCGTATTTTCATTCAATTTTCATTTCAATTTTCCGTAATTCTCTTCATGTTGAAAACCGTATTTTTCCATTTGGATAATCGTATCATCACCTCATTTCCCTAATCATCACTTCCGCTCATCCAATCCGACGAAGATGACCACATCACCCCCCCCCCCTTCCAACAGACCAAGATGTCAGGCTTCCCCTCCCGCTGTGCATGGGACGAGGTCATCAGTCGATATTCCATGACCTTTTCTCGGCCCTTCCGGAAACCAACGTGCAGAAGTTGACCCTGGCTGACCCCTGTCTCTACCTCACAAAAGCTGACCTCGTGTGTCTCGGAGACGCCATCAGGAAGACGAAACACTTGAACAGCCTCAATCTGCAAGGGTTATACAAGGTCAGATTGGGATCAGTATTATCGTGTATTCTTGTGATGGTTGTGGATAAGCTCGTTCGCGTTGTTGTTATTGTTATGTTGATGATGGTGGTGGTGATAATGATGAAATAGATAAATGGTAATATAATAATGACGAGAATTTTGTTACTTCTATTTTATTTTAGTTGCTATTATCATTATCGTTATTACTGTAACTACCCTCACTATTATGTTATTATTATTATTTTGTTGTATTGTACTATTATTATTATCAATATTACTATTATTGATATATTTATTATCATTATTTTATGATGATGATCATTATCATTGTTATTATTGTTCCATTACCATTACCATTACCATTATCATCACAATTACCATTACCAATGCCATCATCACCATTTACTATTACCACCACCACCATCATCAACACCACTACCCCACCACCCCCACCAGTCACCACCGTCACCCCACCATCACCCCCCCACCGCCACCCCCACCCCCCGATCCCACACCCACCACTACACTACCCCTCCCCCTTCCCCCTCCCCCCACTTGAGTGCTACATGCCATCCTGCCTCGGCCTGGGTCAGTCTCCCTCGCTGACCACAGTGCCACTCCACCCCAACCCCTTTATCCCCACCACCACCGTCACCACCACCCCACCCCAACCCCACCCCCCACCACCATCCCCACCACCACCACAACCACCACCACCACCCTCAACCCCACCCCACCACCTCTACCATTACCATCCCCCCAACCCCCTTATCCCCCCCACCCCCACCCGAACCACCTCTACCACTAACCCCCCTCCCCCCTCCCCCCCAGTTGAGTGCTACATGCCCGTCCTGCTCGGCCTGGGTCAGTCTCCCTCGCTGACCACAGTGCACTCCACCCCAACCCCCTTATCCCCACCACCATCGTCACAACCCCACCACAACCCCACCCCACCACCATCACATCCACACCACCACCATCCCTACCCCACCACCCCAACCCACCCCACCCTCAACCCCACCCTCAACCCCCCCATCCCCACCACCACCCACCCCCACCTACCACTACCCCCCCCCTCCCCCCCAGGTTGAGTGCTACATGCCCGTCCTGCTCGGCCTGGGTCAGTCTCCCTCGCCAACCCCCTTATCCCCCCCACACACAACCCCCACCACCACCCCACCCACCCTCACCACCACCACAACCCCCACCATCACCACCAGCCACACCACCACCACCCCCAGTCACCCCACCCCACCCAACCACCACCACCATCAACCCCACCCCCACCACCACCTCCACCACCACCACTAACCCCCCACCCCCTCCCCCCCAGTTGAGTGCTACATGCCCGTCCTGCTCGGCCTGGGTCAGTCTCCCTCGCCAACCCCCTTATCCCCCCCACACAACAACCCCACCACCACCCCACCCCACCCTCACCACCACCACAACCCCCACCATCACCACCAGCCACCACCACCACCCCACCAGTCACCCCACCCCACCCCAACCACCACCACCATCAACCCCACCCCCACCACCACCTCCACCACCACACTAACCCCCCACCCCCTCCCCCCCAGGTTGAGTGCTACATGCCCGTCCTGCTCGGCCTGGGTCAGTCTCCCTCACTGACCACAGTGCACTCCACCCCAACCCCCTTATCCCCACCATCGTCACAACCCCACCACCATCACCATCACCACCACCACCATCCCTACCCCCACCACCCCAACCCACCCCACCCTCAACCCCCATCCCCACCACCACCACCCCCACCTCTACCACTAACCCCCCCTCCCCCCCAGGTTGAGTGCTACATGCCCGTCCTGCTCGGCCTGGGTCAGTCTCCCTCGCCAACCCCCTTATCCCCCCCCCCACACAACCCCCACCACCACCCCACCCAACCCTCACCACCTCACCACCACACCACCCACCCCCCCCCACCCCCATCCCACCACCACCCTCACCACCCACCACACCACCACCACTAACCCCCCCCCCCCCACCCCCAGGTTGAGTGCTACATGCCCGTCCTGCTCGGCCCTGGGTCAGTCTCCCTCGCTGACCACAGTGCACTCCACCCCAACCCCCTTATCCCCACCACCACCGTCACCCCCACCCCACCGTCATCCCCCCCACACCCCACCCCACCACCACCTCACCACTACCCCCCCACAAACCTCCCCCCCCCCACCACCGTCACCCCCATCCCCACCCCCAACCCCACCAGTCACCTCTACCACTAACCCCCCACCCCTCCCCCCTCAGGTTGAGTGCTACATGCCCGTCCTGCTCGGCCTGGCGTCAGTCTTTCCTCGCTGACCACAGTGCACTCCACCCCAACCCTTATGCCCCACCACCACCGTCACCACCACCCTACACCACCACCCCCATCCCCTCCACCACCACAACCACACCACCACCACAACACCACCATCCCACCACCCCTCAACCCACCCACCCCCAACCCCCCCATCCCCCCCCCACCACCACCACCCCCAATCCACCCCCCACCACTAAACCCCCCTTCCCACCCCAGCTACATGCCCGTCCTGCTTCGGCCTGCTCATCTCCTTGCTGACCACAGTGCACTCCACCCAACCCCCTTATCCCCACCACCACCGTCACCACCCCACCCCCACCCCCACCATCACCACCACCGTCACCACCACCACAACCCGACCACCACCCTCAACCCCACCCCACCACTACCCCCACCATCACCACAACCCCACCCCCACCCCCACCATCCCCTTCACACCACCTCTCCCACTACCACTAACCCCCCCCCCCCCCCCCCAGGTTGAGTGCTACATGCCCGTCCTGCTCGGCCTGGGTCAGTCCCCCTCGCTGACCACGGTGAAGCTCGACTCCCGGCACGTGGTCCTGTCCGACACGGCGTTCTTCCTGGCCTGCACGGCGCTCAGGAACAACACGACGCTGAAGACGCTCTCCCTGGCGCGCTGGGCTTTCGCCTGGATTTGGACAGGTAGGATTGTTAAGTGGAAGGGATTGGTTAAGTGGATTCTTGTGGATTCTGGGCTTTCGATATACAGGTAGGATTGTTTGGAGGATTGTGGAAGGAGGATTGGTTAAGGGCTTTCAATATACAGGTAGGATTGTTATGGAGGATTGTGGAAGGAGGATTGGTTAAGTGGATTCTTGTGGATTCTGGGCTTTTGAATATACAGGTAGGATTGTTTGAGGATTGTGGAAGGAGGATTGGTTTCAATGGAGGATTCTTGTGGAAGGATTTTGGTTAAGTGGATTCTGTTTTGTTTTTTTTTTGCTTTTGTAAAAATTCTTTGCTCTTATTTGCTTCCATTTCTCTCTCTGTATCTGTTTTTTTTTTCATCGTGGTTCTCCTATCTTTGTGGCTCTTCGAGAATCATTAAGAAATAGGTTGTTTCGTGTATGAATTTAAAGTTGTGTGTCATTTTAATCATTGTAATAGAATTGTCTCTCTCTCTCTCTCTCTCTTCCTC